CATGCTGGCTGGACGGCATTGCACGAGGCTTGTAACCGCGGCTATGTGCAATGTGTCAAGAAAATATTACAGTATCATGGTAGGTTTTGTGACATGTACATCTTTGTTGTGGTACTTGTGTATTGGTGGGCTTAAGAAATATGAGATGTAGTTTAGTTTTCTTGCTCTCTGTGTGTCTCAACATTTCTGAAATTGACCACCATTTATTTATTTGACTTTGCCAACTAGGGCAGGGTCACCACAACACCATATGCCAATCCTAACCCACCCTGTCGGCTTCCCCTGTGGGAGGAACCTGGAGCACCCGGAGAAAACCCACGGCATTCGGCAGAGCGTTGACTTTTACTCTTTTCACACGAGGACTGGGTTCAAGTCACATTGAGAAAGTTCTCGCTGGGATTTGAATATGCGACCTCTGAGGTGAAAGGCAAGTGCGCTAGCCACTTCGCCACCGAAGGCCCAATGCTTAAGATACATTTTCAATACGTTGTTACATGGTGTTATATATATATCTACAGAGAAAACGAACAAAGTCAACTTACTGGCATGTCCTGACGATGGTGTGACAGTTCTTCACGATGCTGTGTTCAATAATCATCTAGCCGTGGTCAAACTGCTTACTCAAGCTGGAGGTTAGCACAGTCTGGGTTTTCTTTACCTTGCCATTTGAATCGAATCTGAAATGTTTTATCAAAGATTATAAAGACGATGATATATATGGTGGCTGTTTTCCATAAAGGACAACTCCTTATCGATCCAGGACCTAACCTTATTTATATTGGATATAGTTTTATCAATTCTAAACTGTTCTTTCTAGAGGTCCAGTAAGGATCATCTTTCCTTGATCCAGTGTTACTACAGGAGGAAACCTAAACTAACTTTATTTATACTGGATAGCTCTATCAGTTCTAAACTGTTCTCCCTATCTAGAGGTCCAGTAAGGAACTAAGGATCATCTTTCCTTGATCCAATGTTACTACAGGTGGAAATCTATAAACTAAACTACGATGTAATCGGAGGAAACGTGTGGTGTTTGGTAAAGTCAAACTGGAAGCATTCTTCTCACATGTGACTGAGGTGAAATTATAACCAGACAACTGCATATTTCAGGAATCTAACCCTGCAGTGACAGAGATGAAAGACATTTAATCACACTGTAGTACCACCAACCCCTATTCATGAGGTGATAAATAAAATTGAAACTGAAAAAAATTGTTGTTTTCTTACCTCACATATTCAGACTTAGATCTTCTGCAAGCAAAAACAGCGTTGGGAAAGACAGCTGGACAACTTGCCAAAACCAATGTAATGTCGCAATTTATCAACTCGGAATTGAAACAGCTGCAAACCGCTCACGACCAAGAAAATACTCTGCGGCCTTCACAACAGGCGTACGACAAGTTATTATCAAGAAACAGGCGAAAATATTATATCCCAATGCAGGAGTGCGAACAATATCTATTCTACATATCGCTGTTGGTTCAAGTTTATATCAGAGAACATACGCTCATTTGGAATAATGCCTTCATCTCAAATGGGAAGAAATTGTGCACGAACTGTATCGTCGATGCTGGATGTGTAGAAAAATTTTCTCAACATTTGGCGAACTTAGAACGACATGTCAAGTTAATGTCAGGAAAGCAAAATTTATCGCAGTTATGTCAGCTTTATATTACTTCAATGAAGTTATGCATTTCATTTTCATATGTGATTCAAGAGGACGTCTTATAGCTATAGGGACGAACGTTTTTGAGAATATAGTGTGAATCTTTTCGTGTAATTGTGGATTTCGGTAAGCGTTACAAAACAATATGGTGGCCGACTTCACAAGACAACTTCAATATATTTTGTTTACCACCAAACACAAGAATTAACATTTTCTCAGCTGCACAGAATATATTTGTTTCTTGCGTGTACTCATGCGGTATATAAACTGTGGATATACTAACTAGTTCTGTTTTTGTTTTGTTATAAAATACTGCTATCGTATGGACAAGTTAATAAAATCAATATTGATAATAAAATATTTCATCAAATAATAGATTCAAATAAAGATGAACATGTATTACACTAATTTGTCGCTTCTGACTCACAGCCCGCTATTTTGAATGGTATTAGCTGGCTCCTTTTAGAAATCGGTGACAGAACTTTAGCTTTAAATAAGTGCCGACTATAGTACGAGTGTGATTTTCTACTAAACAGTATATAGGTATCTCATTACAACCCAGGCTTTTTAGCGCCATTAACCCCAAATCAACGAGCTCTCTATATATAACTGGAGCGAGGACTTCAGTCATTTGGCCTATGAGAAAAATTAAGTCAAGATGGCGGCCATTGACGTCGAATAGCTCTGAAGGTCGTAAACAGTTTTTATACCATTTTCCCCCACTAATGGACCATTCCCCAATTAACCAAAATTTTGAACTCAACAAGTCTAGACAAAAATTTCATCACAGCTTGAAAGAACATCACAAAATTAGTAATATTCCAAAGTTTCGTTGCAAAATGTTGTAAAATGCGGATAATATAGCCTTGCGAAGTTTACAATTTTCAGTCATTTTAGATTACAAACGGGAAATGGTTACCACTTCTGTGCGTAATACAAAATGACTGAAAATTACAAACTTCGCAAGGCTATATTCGCATTTTACAACATTTTGCAACGAAACTTTGGAATATTACTAATTTTGTGATGCTCTTTCAAGCTGTGATGAAATTTTTGTTTAGGCTAGTTAAGATCAAAATTTTGGAAAAGTGGTAACCATCTCTCATTTGTAATCTAAAATGACTGAAAATTGCAAATTTCGCATGGCTATATTATCCGCATTTTACAACATTTCGCAACGAAACTTTGGAATATTACTAATTTTGTGATGCTCTTTCAAGCTGTGATGAAATTTTGTCTAGACTGTCTAGATCAAAATTTTGGTTAATTGGGAAATGGTCCATTCTACTTGGCACAAACTAAAAAATAGGCACACTACAGTGTTTTTATATAGATCGGTGGCTAAGCTGAGTGAGCGCGGGGGGGGGGTGTGCTTGGGTTAGTCACTGATCTATATAAAAACACTGTAGTGTGCTTATTTTTAGTTATTTGCGCCTGGGTACGAGGCTGCTCATGCACCACCACCTTGGCTTCACTTTTAGGACCGGAGTTCTCACTCCAGATATATAATGGAGCTCACCGCCCAAATATTTATGGTGAGCACTTATGGGGAAGATAACCTGCGATCAGGCATTCGGGCGGGGCAAGGTTTCCTCTATTACCTTACTATACACGACTAAGACGTCTGTTGTTGTCCTGGAGGCATTGCTACTTTCCTTCTTCGACTTGAATAATATTGCCAATGTAGTAACTGCTGTTCATCGATGAACTTGGCACAGGGGACGTTCACCAGTTCACGTCGGAAATGTTCGTATTGGAGTAGATCCAGGAAAAACAAACTTTGTGGGTATCTAGAAGGAAGGTCAACAATGAAGGTCATCGATCAAGGAACTTGACAGAAAGTATGTTAGCAAACTGT